AATATCAGGGTAGAAATATCATACTAACTCAAATGTGTGTGCATTTCATAAAAGGGAACTGAAGAGGAATAGGTGGTTTACCTGAAGCCGTAGTTGAGGGCTTCCTCTGCCGTCACCACCCCGATGTCCACGGTACGCTTCTGCCAGATACGATTGTTGGTCAACATCTGGCAAGAAGAAAACACATTTGAGCATTTAATGATAGATTTTCACCACATCATTATCGTGTAAAGAACTTGTGGAGATCAAAACATATAGAAGAAGTCACCTCTTCTACTTCATCGATTCTAATGGAGAAGTTCTTGCACCACTCATAGATGTCGTCCATCAGGCCAACGGGCATATCCTGAAACACATAAGATCATTAACACTGATCATGATCTTATAAAGTGGTCTACAGGTAAAATAATTGATACATCTTACGTACACAATTCTCACAAAGAGATCGCTTAATTGTGTTGTTTAAAATGAGTTATTTTACCTGATGCACACCGCCAGGTCTGATGTATGCAGCGTGCATTCTGGCTCCGGACACTCGCTCATAAAACTCAAACATCTGGGAGGAAACAAAGATCACAGTTCAGAGTGAAAAGGGGCATCCACATTTATTTACAATTAGCTTGATTTTCCGTGAATATGAAAATAGTCACTTCTATGGGTCACAGATGTTCCGTTTACTCCAACTTGAATTTTTTTCAGTAACTTGATTTCTTCTTTTGAGGAACTTTAAGGTAATGCGTGTCTCACGTGCCAAATGGTATTGATTTTTTAAGAATGTTGCAAGCAAGTGCAATACAGAATAAACAATGTTTATAACAAATAAAGGACAGACTGGTTTTGACCTTCTCTCGCTCCTCGAACAACCAGAAGAAGGGGGTCATGGCACCGATGTCAAGGGCGTGCGTAGTGATGGCCATGATGTGGTTCAGGATGCGGGTCAGCTCTCCGTACAGAACTGCAAAACAAAAACACAACAAACCATTTAGGACTATTGACAATAAATAAATAAGTCGGTCATTTTTAAATCAATTATTGATTTTAAGCCATTTGTCAAACAAATGTCAAAATTTCACGTGTTCCTAGCTGATCAAGCGAGAAGATTTGCAATATACTTCTTCTCTCTTTAGCTTTTGTACAGAAAAATGCTTTTAAAATGTAACCCTGTAAACATTTTAATATTCTATTAACCATTATCATTGGATGTAGAACTATGACCATTGACCGCAACTGACAGATACAAGATTGTAGGAACACAGGGGGTTAGGGTTATTAATTAACAATAATTTGTGTTTGTGTAATTCTAATCAGGGTATATGCAGGAATCCTGAAGTCAAATTTAATACCTTTTAAGACCTTTTTTAAGACCCTTTCCATTCATTTTAAGACTTCATCGCAACTTTGAGTTCTAACCGGTTACATTGGCAACACACTTTACCTCACATTTACTATATTGATTGTAAGATAGCAAAACTAAACAGAGTGCAAACAGACTACTGAAGCCTCCTTTCCACATGAACTTCAACCTCTCTGTGAAGGTCAGGTTTAATGCAGTATGCTGCTTTGTTGCTTCTGTAGACTCTGTGCTCTTTAATTCCAGTAAAACTCCTCAGAAACCAGTATTTGACCAATAAACAAAACAATTGACAAAACTTTGAACTATGAAATATATTAAACTTTGGTGAGCTTCAGCGGGGTAATGCCATATAGGAGCTCCCTCTCAAATACCGAGGGGTTAAATTGGGCTGGGGCTGTCCGGGGCTAAGCACTGGCACATAAGACGATGCTCTGACGTCATCACCCTCACACATTTGTCATATGTTTACAAAAAAGGATATATATGTTAAGACTTTTCTCGTTCTTAATATAGACTATATTTAGGATCTATATGTGTTTAAAATAGCAGATCTCTGTGACCGGATATAGTTTGGCTTAGACCCCGGCCCCACGAGGACGCATACGGTAAAACGCATACGCAAGCGCAAAAAAGGCTTCCGTTCACACGCATTCGATTCATTAACGTGTCCGTTCACACAAGACCGCTGGAAATGCTGGAAACGATGTAGTACATATGCCAGGCCTGTAAGTGGCGCTGCTGCCGCCACAAAATACACCAAAGCAGTGAAGAAGACCCCGGAGCATGGTCGCCCTTCTGTTTATTCTCCACGGTGGACGGCGTGTTCTCCTGCTATATATCTCTCCGGTAGTCCACCAGCAGATGAAAAACACCCACCTCTCCGCCTCTTCCAAGGAACGAGGGGACCGTGCGGCAGAGTTTCCGTAAACATTTTTTTACGCCGGTCAACATGTCCGTTAAAGTTTAAATCTTCCGTACAAAATGAAAAAAGTGCCGGTCAGAGGTCTTCTTTGTTATTTATTGAGCTTTAAAACAAATTGATAACGACTCTGTTCTCTGTATAATAATAGAAGAATATTTAATAAACGGTTCCTGCCTCTCTTTTCCTCGACATGTCGTTTCAGTAAATTAAAGGGTGTTTCATGTTGTCGTTGCTGTGGACCTTCTTAATACCTTGGAAAATGCCGTTTAATACTTTTTAATAGCCTTAATTTTCGCTAAATTGATTTATCAACTTTTAATACTTTTTAAGACCCCGCGGACACCCTGTCTAATGCATTAGATCTGTCGAAACCAGAATCCCTTTAAAATCAGTAGTATTTGTTTATTCTGAATTTCACGAGTTATAGCACTATAACATTTAACGTCTAATACAACAGCCTGTTATGAATGGCAAAAATAGGTCCTCTACAAATATATTCACGGTATTTTTAGGCCTTAAATCATTTGATTTCAAATCTATAGCCTTTGCAGAATCAGCAGACACTGCCAGTCCGAACCTCGGATCCACTGTGCACGGGGGGGGGCCTGGATGTTGAGCAGCTTCTCCACAGCCAAAGAGTAGGCCTCCTCGTTACACATCATGGAAACATAGTCCAGGCGGTCAAAGTAGGGCAGAGCCTGTGGTCAAAAAAGAAGCGTTTTGGTTAAGAGAATTCCAAAACAATTGCGGGACAAATGACACATGAGAAAGGTCTGTTAATCAAGACTGTTGAGGTGAGAAGTTGAATTTGATCCTTTTAAAGTGAGGGGGTGTTCCTATGCTCGGGCACCAGCTAAGTTTTACCAAGTAAACACAGCTCAATCTCCAGAGGATGTGGTCGTGTACATTGCAAAAAAACATAATTTTTGCAATGGGTTCTGATGCTATTTTCTGTCCTTAGACCAAATAGCACAGATCAACATCCAACATACAAAATGTGCTCTTCAACCCACTACCTTAGACGTTTATAAGGGTAAAAACTATTTACAGATATCATCAGTGGTTGAGTACCTGCAGGTAGGTCTTGTACTCAATGAGCTTCTCTGTGCCACGGTGAAGAAGGCCTATGTGGGGGTCACACTTCTTGACGGACTCTCCACTGAGCTCCAGGACTAGACGCAGCACGCCGTGAGCTGCAGGATGCTGGGGGCCAAAGTTGATGGTCAGGTTAGACACATCCTTCACTGCATCAGGATCTTTGTCTGCAAGGAACAAAAAACAAAAAACATACAGGGAAGGTTAGCCAATTGAGTTCATGGAGAGCAGAACAATTAGTATTGCTTTAGGATATGCTTTCTAATACAAATAACTAAGAAAGCAACCAATGGACAACATAAACAGTTCAATAAATCTCTATTGCCTATGTAGGAACAATTTGTATTACTTTATGTAGGTATGTAGCTGTCCAATGTGTTAAAATCCAGTGCTCTGTGTACATGTAAACAGTTTTGTGACACTGAAGACATGTCTTTAAAAAGGGTTGGTGGATTGACAACACCATGGAAAATAATGGAAATAGGTTAGTATAATAAGTATAATACTTGTTTTGTTTTTTATATACATATAGCCCTAAATGTGAGACTGCAAATGTGTGTGTGTGCGTGTGTGTGTGTGTGTGTGTGTGTGTGTGTGTGTGTGTGTGATGACTGTACCATTCCATGGTGGTGGGACCCATTTCTCGTTAACAGCAGTGGGGTACATCACGGCCCCGGCAAATTGCTCGGTATACTCCACATCTGGCTGCCATTGTTTCTGCCTGTAAAAACATGGAACATGAGGTACGGTATTTTTCTTCATTGTTTAGGCAGACAATTAAAGACAAAAACAGCATTCTAACCCCAAGTATGTACCACATTTTCAGGCTATTGAATCGCCATTAATGACAGTAGCCGATGAGAGACACAGGCAGATCAGACATATTGCTAATTATTGCAACATCAAAACATGACTACATTAACACGTTTTAACCATAGACTTTAACTCCTAAAGCATCTGTAGAACTCCCTCGGTATCAGATTACGCCAATAACAAGCTTTCCTGTTGAAGTCTGCTTGACATTGGTGCCACTGCTACATAATCAACACATTACATGTTAGGAACAAAAACACATTTTAGAGACCTCTAAGCCTAAGGTGAGATATACGACAGAGTCTGATAATAGCGATGGGTCGGAAGCAGGCTTCTTCACATGTTTACCATTAGTCAAAGGTCTTACATATATCTAGAATGTAATGCAGGTAACACACTATTTGGGAGCCTCATAACCAGAGTGTACCACATATACGTTGACTTTACATACAGCATTAAAGCTGCAAAACAACGGAGTGACATTAGCTAATCAGAAAGCTAAGCTAACTTTAGGTAACAGTTTAGGTAACGCTAGCAACTAGATAGCGCACAATAGCTAGTTTACCCTTAGACAAACGCCGCTTTAAAAGGATGACATTGCTATATTTGTTCGATGATTACATTCTGCGTGCATTGTTAAATACATTTTCCATTCAGGAAGAAACTACATACTATTGCAGGTGATTATAATCATTTTTGCACTGTCGACTTTTTAAGCGTTATGCTAACATTTGCCTGTGTGTCAGTATGCATATTTATGTAACGCTCAAGCTAAAACGGCCACCCACACATTGTCCACACAAAACGTCACGTTTCGTATTCTTGTTATCTTACCTGTTCTGCAGGACAGTACAGGCAGGGCTCAGCAAATTATTATTTAATATCAATTTTGTTGAAGGACGTCCTAGTTTAGTAAGCGACCTCAACATCGTGCCCGCCATTTTGGCTGTTAGTGCTACACTCACTGGCCAATGACGTAGAGGAGTTTCTTCTTTTGTAGTTAAGTGCATTCAGTTAAGAACGTGTGTCTGCCACCTATCGGTTTATAGCACGAACTGCTGCCTGACGAACTGCTTCTTCAACGTTTTCATTTTATTGTATTTATACTGTGTTTCTGTCCCTTTAGTAGATTATTATATAACAGAGTATTCTCATTTATCCTGTTTATTTTATAGTTTGTATTCTTAAATATTATTCTGAATATAGTAGTTTCTACTGTGAATATGTACATAATGCAAGGAATGTTTATTTTTTAAATTATATTTTTAAGAAATGTTATAATTCTTGCACACTGCTGCTGTGACAAAACAATTTCCCAACTAGGAATACATAAAGTATCTATCTAACTATCTATCATCTATCTATTGTCTCAATGTCTATCTATCTTTTCATATATGTACATTGTACAGTACTAGCAGTCTTTATCTTTAGCTCTGTTCAGCTTTATCGTCCTTACAGCTGTATTTCTATTTGTGTGTATCAACATTAAGAGCAACTCAAGAAAGAGAAGCGTATTCATGTTTCCAGTTTACTTTGTAAAATCTATCGCACAATAAATTTGTCTTTATTAAAGAACAAATCCCAACTATTATAAGACCCCAACCTCCTGAAACCCGTTTTATTTATCGCTATTCGTAGCCCATACCACAAATGTGTCATAAAGAAAAGGGTAGGCAGAATGTAAGATACTTAAAGGACCTTTTTTAAACTTTACTATTCTTTAAATAAAGTCTGTACTGCTGCTTCTAAGCATACACCCCAGATTTGTGTTCTCCACTCCCCTTAAAATATTTTAGCTTTTATGCTTATTGCACAAAACATGGAAGCTGTACATTTAAAGCCAATGACCAAAAATGAAAAAACTCAGCTTTATTATAAAAAACAGTGCTTTTATTTATGTAATACTGTGGAAAAATAATTACATACCATTTTTAAAAAATATTGAAAATTAAAAAATGAGAGTTTGATAACGTTCGTTGTACATCTTTTGAACAGTTGTCTCTGCTACGAAGAACAGTACAATAAGATAAACATTGGATTTTCTAAATTCAAAGACACAATAATACAGGATACAGTCCTACCAGAGGTATAAAAGTACTGTGACAGGATTGTGAGAGAAATGATATGGACATATACTGAAGCACACACACACACACACACACACACACACACACACACACACACACACACACACACACACACTTTGACACCGACATACACACACACATACTGTATACACACGGACATGCATACAATAGTCGCGCGCACTGGAGTCGTGTGCTGCATGTTTACAGTATGCTTCCCATACACACGCCGTCATTCACTCATCTATACAAACACACTGTACAAATCGATGTGCGTGCCAGTGCCCAAACACTCCCTCTTGATCTCTCTCTCACACACTCACACACCCACACACACACTCACAGTCATACTCTACTACATGTCAATATTGTGGACAAGCCTTCATTGAACCTCTCCTTACACATTCTCCTCCGGCCGTTTTTTTGGCAGACAGACGATGAGGAATGATTAAAAATGGAAATGTACGACATGTTCCCCTATAAGGCCACTCAGTTCTAAACCCAACATCTGTGTTTTTCTCTCTGTCTGCACCGAGCTTGTAGTGAGGAGCTCAGAGGAAAAAGGCTCCAGCCTACGAAAATGTCGGAGAATGACTCAAGGCCCCGAGCCTGGTTTATAAAGCAACAGTCACCAATAGAAGGAGCTTCTACTGCATATACATGGTTTAAGGTGAATAACAACATGAACACTTGGCACTAGGGTTTCCTTTATACACTGATACACCCTTCTGATGTGAAACACGTTCTGAATTCAGGCTCCGCTGTTGACACAACTCTTCTTCCTGTCTCAGTGGAATCACCCGGCCCGTTTTCTTTAAGTGGGCTCACGCTCAAAACTTTTGGTCCATACATACACAATACATGTTTTACATTGACAAAAATAATTCTGTAATGTTAAAAAATAGAATACAAAGCTCTAGTCTGGTGTGCAAATAAAAAGAAGACATTACACAGATATAGATAAGGGACGTCTAAGCATGAATACTGTAGATGCAGTGCAAAATGATGACAACCCTCCCAACCCCCCCCCCAGCCCCAACACATGCCGCCTAACGGGCATAATGGCATGTACCACTGTACAAAAGGGCATTCTGGGATACTATATTTATACTGTATGTGCTCTATGATCACCGAATAAGACAACCAGCAAAACAAAATGAAAAAATGGAGGCCAGAAATAACTTCCACTGGTTGAGGTTTTACCCAATCAGCGTGTTCCATATTTGACAGTCAGTCCGTTTAGCCTAAAGACGTTCTCTCTCATCATTTACAAAGTCAGTTCAGAGCAAAAGCTATAGGGCTCCGTAGATCTGTGATCTCTCGTCCTCTCTCTGGTTCTTGTTCTCTTTCTCAGTCTTGATTGTGACTTGCGCCGTCCGCTCTTTCAGAGCTCAGATATACAAACACATTGGGAGTGAGGGAATTCAAAATTGTGTGGAATTTCTCTTCCCTGTCTCACTAAACTACTTTTCCACTCGTCTTTTTTTCTCCCTGTCTCTCCCTGTCTCATGGGCACAGTCTCCAGACTGTGCATGTGGGTGTGTGTGATGTTTTTCAGTTTCTGTGTGAAAATATGTGCGTGTAAATCTATGATTGTCTGTCGTGTTTTTTAGATGTGACACTATTTATAAGATGCTCTGCTCAGACGGTGAGGGTGTTCTCTGTCTCACACGTGAGTCTGCATCCTCTGTGTGTGCCGGCTGTGGGAGTAGTCAGATTGTTGGGAGGTGTAGGAGAAGCGGGTGGAGCTGCCGTACTTTCCGAGTCCAGGCTCTGATCCCGAGGGGGCAGGGCCCGGGGGACCCACGCCCACAACAGGGCTGCCAACCCCGGATCCCACCCCAGGTCCCACCCCAGGTCCCACCCCGGGTCCCACCCCGGGTCCCACCCCAGTCCACCCCGGCCCCCACCCCGTACATCTCGTAGGAGGGGCAGGCCTCCAGAGGGGCTAGGCTGGACGGGGCGAAACCCATGCGGTAGGTCTGGTAATGCGACGGGTATCCGTAGTTGTCGTAGGCCAGCTGGGAGGTGGAGTCCAGGAGGCTGCATTCTCCCGGGAAGTCGCTGGCCATGGGGGGGGGGTTTGGCTGGGGCTGCTGAATCTGGCCCGCGCGGGTGAAGGTGTTGAACTGGGCGTAGCTGATGTGTGAGAGTCTAGAGGGGGGTCTGGGGTCATAGCAAGCCTGTGGGCGGCCAGGGGAGGTGAGGGGGCCGGGGGGACCGGGGCCCCCTCCGCTGGCCGTGGCTCCTGAGCCTCCTGCACTGCTGCTGATGGAGGCGGCACCCCCTGGGGTCCCTGTGGGGGAGCGGTAGTCAGAATAGTGCAGGGTGGAGCGCGAGGCAGGGCGGCCTTCATCGTGGGTGGAGGCCCGCACGTTGTAGTAGCCATTGGTGGGGTCCTGAAGCAAAAACAAATAGGAGACAGAATTAGCATTACAAAATATATAATGAGCGGAAAAATCATTATTATTATAAAAACCTACAAACTAAAATTATAAACATTTATATATTACACAACTTTGTTGTTGCTTGATTTTGATTGGTCAATAACAACATTCTACGGTGCTTGTCATAGACTTAATTCTTGAGCAGTAGCATTCAAATCTATTTGAAATCATTACCTGTGAAATGTCAACTGTATTAGTAAGTTTAGCTGCGTTATAAGTGGGATTATGTACATTAAAGGGGTTCATTTTGTAAAAATAACATGCTTGCTGCACATTATCCCTTACATAATTATTCTATACGCCAGTGTACAGATTGTTAGGGTCAAAGGTCTCTAATAAAATAAATAAAAATGTTCTGTTCCTCCAGATCCCCAAGGAGAAATGATCTTGGAGGTCATAGCTGTCTTTTTGTGACTCTTTTTAAAAAATGAATGCAAATCAAGATACAGTCTGGAGTCTTCCAAAATTCTACTGACATTAAATTCCTCAGCAAACAGGAGTAATCCACAAAAACTAGCAGATGTCTCTAAAATTATTTCAACTTTAGAGTAGATCTATCTAACTTTTAGAAGAAGGTATTCTCTGTTAACATGGACGTTAATCCTAGATTGTCTGAAAGATGCTCTCCCTGCTCTCCACACCCACTTCATGTTTCTCCACTATTAGTTCTGACATAATTCTGCCATCTCATTGTCTGTCATGCGCCAGCTCCTCCCCCTGACTTTGTTTCACTGCTCTGGTGCTTGTGGGGGGGGGGAGAGTAAAAAAACAGTCTGGCTGCTGAGGCTGTTGTCGAGGTGATCTAACCATCTCCCGGGGTGGATTCATGTCTGTGTTTCTTCAGAGTGATGATCCCAGGCAGCGCTCCAGCTAGAGGGGTTTGCCCTCACAAAATATTCATGGGGAGGGGGGGGGGTTCAGCAGAACATTTTGGCAGCGGTGAACGTGAAAATACATTAGTCACCTAGACCAGCCTCACAGTGTCAAAAAGTATAAATGATTGATGCCAGGTACACGAGCGGATTGTTTTTCATCAAATATCTTACTTTTCTCAGAAATCAGTGAAGCTAGTTGCATCACAGCTGGACAGAGAGAGGCAGCGCTTAAGGAGCGGCGGCAGTTTTAGTTTGAAATATCCTACTCTAATATTCCCACAGATATTGAGTGCAAAACTAACACTTAGTTTAAAGGTCAGCTGAGGGGATTTTGTACTGATGTTGAAATTGTTTTAACTGGACTGTAGTCTTGTTTTTGTAGTCCTATGTAATACATTGTTATTTGCTGGCCACCAACCACTTTGTTACTGAAATCGTGTAATGCTAATGACAGTTTCTATTGATATATATATCTCTAATAAGATACTAAACTAAACTGTGAATAAAAACCTGTATGAAGAGAACTTTCTACTGGATATACTGTATCTCAAATGTGAAAGTATATAATGGTTACACAATGAGTTACTAGTACCAGTTTGTTATCCAGTTAAGATAAATGTATCCTAATCTGATCCTGCATTAAAGAGCCAGAATGAAGCTTTGTTTTTAAAAATCCCTTTCTTTGTCTGATTCTGGCTACTTAAGATGCCCATTTGCACCCTCTAGAGGATAAACATGATATTTAAAAATCATTATATTTAACGGATTTTCAACTTTTAGAACATTGCAAACTTTATTAGTTCAACTGCACGGAAAAAGAAACAATGTACTTCATTAGATAAAGTCACAATGTCAGTGATGATTGGGATATTTACAGCCCATTCAGGTATAATTAGAATGAAACATTGCACCAGAATGAACTCTGCATAACCTCATTTGACTTTGACATTGTTTTATTCAGAATAATGGCACATTTCCACTGCAGCGGGGTAGCCCCGTTTAAGCGTCCCTAAGCGTCCTCGCTCAGGCCTCGGGCTGCCTCGCTGGCCGTCCGACAGTTTAGGACCTGGGGTAGCAACGCAGTGTAGGCGGGGCGATCAGCTTTTTTTTCTCTTCACATTTCGAGTTGTTCCGTCGAGCTCCCGCTGGATTTTATCATCCCCAATGAGATGTATGAACGTCGTCACCTCCTCGGTCGACCACGGTGTGCTTTTCTTTGACGTTGTCATTTTTGTAGCTCCTCCGTTTACAAAAATGCTGTGTATAAAAAAGCTGCAAGCTTGCTTCTAAATATATATGCGACGCTAGGGATGATCTCGTGCGCGATCTTGTGACGATTCTCTCTGACCAATCAGCCGTGGAGAGTGTTGACGTCACTAGTTCAGCCCTGGCCCTGGCCTGATAGAACCACGATTTTATGGGGCCGGAAAAGAGGGAAAAAGTACCCGCTAGCCGATGCTACGCTATATGGAAAGGCCACCAAAAACTGGCCTGGCCGCTTGAGGACGATTAAGGACGCTTAAACGGGGCTACCCGCTGCAGTGGAAATGCGCCATTAGTTATTGAACACATCTGTGTTTTTCTACTTTCTTTCCTCACTTCTGGCGTGACTCTTCTCTGTATTTGGAGTGTTTTAGTAGAAATGTACAGTTTGGATTGTGCAGTCAATCCGCTTGCTGATTTGATATAAACGAGTGTTTAATGAGCTCACCTTGAGGTCATATTCCTGGCGGGTTTCCAAGGTGTCGCTGCGGAGGTCAGACTTGAGCTCTATGTCATCTTTAAAGGGCTGATTGGAAGGAGAGAAGGACACAGAGGGGAGAAACTAAACCGTCAAACAACAAAACAAAACAAAAAAGAAAAAGGAAGAGAGAAGGTGCCGTAACGAAACAGAAGAGGGAACAGAGTATGACAAGAAAAGAGAAAATGGGATTAACAGTGTTAAAAGGAGAGGGAAAACACAAGATTTGAGTTTACAAAATGTACAGTGTGGTGTAGGGAGAGGTCACTAAGTTAATGTGAGTTTTTCTTTTTCTACGACTACAGGCTGTGTAAACATATCCCGCTGCCGCTCACCGAGTACATGGCCTTGACCATGCGCGAAGCCGTGGACACGCTGCCGGAGTCCTCCTCCAGGCTGTGGGTCTCCTTGTTGATCGTCTCCACCTTGATGTCGGGCTTACCCAGCGTGACCCCGCGGCGACCTGGAAGCAAAACACGGGCGAGGTTGAATACAGCTGGACACACGCACCTCCGCTGGTTTGTTTTCACGAGCTGGAGGAGCGAGTTCAGAGGGCACCGACATCCATATGGTGGAGAGGAAGTTGGGGGTGTTTGATTTTGCTTTTATTTGGTCTAGTTGTGAGCATTTAAACCAAAATCAGCTGACTGTCTTCCTTTCCTCTTTCTCCTTGTTGTCTTGATATCTTTCTCTTTATTTATATCTTTTTTTTAATTGTCATTATTAATATTATTATAATTTAATAAGTTGTTAGAAAATACTTTATATTTTTGTTCTGTAAATAGGGTTTGTATGCACTGTGAGAAATGGTAATAAAGTAAAGAAAAGAAGACAAGCCCTCTAGAGAGGAAAAGCTTGATTGATGGAGAAATGTAACAAAACCAGAATCAGCTAAAAACACTAGATTAGTTATTGAAAAAAATAAGAATAAGTATAATCTGATGTGATTAATTTGCCTACGTTAGTGTTTTATAGTACTATCCAGATGACAATAATGCAAGATTATTTTTCCTAATTAGAAAATACCAATTATTTTTAGATTTGATAATGCAACGTCTGGTTCTGACCCATCAGAACTGCTGCTTAATGTTCTGAAAGTTAAAAACAGCAGCAGGCAGTATGGCAGAACTGAGTTACATTTGCTTCATAGAGCCTGATGTTATTTTCAGATGGCTTGGTTAAGCAAAGCACACACATACAAATTAATTATTAACAGCTTAGCAGTTCAAGCGAGGGAAGGGGACGGCACTGTAATGGTATCAGAATCAGCAAAAACATGAATGTACTGTATGTGTTGGACACATGGAGATAATGACTCACTGCCTTTGCGTTGCCGGTAGAAGATCAGAACGAGGACCAGCAGAAAGATGAAGAGGAGGATGGTGGAGCCCACCGTCCCACCGGCTATTATCCCCACTGGGACTTCCTCTGGAATGAGGAAGAAAGGGAGAAAAAGAGAGTTTTATATATTAATAAGTAATGGTGCGACAACCAACTTTATCAGACATTTCTGTTGTTTGTTGTCCCTATCTCCTGAAGGTCCCCTATTATACTGTTTTTCATCAATATATTATAGGTCTCAGATATATACAGAACCTGTCTCTGAAGTGTTTGGCTCCAAACACCAAACAGATCATTGCAGCATCCCATAATCCCCTCTGTTTCAGCCCTGTTTCCAAAGTGCTGATTCTCTGTCTGTTACTTTAGATGAAAATAAGGAGCCCCTCCCCACGCCCCTCTCGAAAGAGATTTGGTTAAAAAATAACCCGAATCGGTGCTCTAGGAGGAGATTCAGGTGATAAGGGAGGGGAGGGGGGGGGGGGGGGTTACCGTTGGTTGCTGATTACCTGGCTAATGGTTGGACAAGCCAAATAATCGTCATGACATCATAACATGGCCCAAATCTGATCGGCTCATTTCAGACAGGTTTTTATATAAATGGATCAGGACAAAAAGAGAGGGAATCTTTGTTCCTGAAACTTTCAGAGTCTCTTAACACAGAGGGGACACATGTTGATGTAGAAGAGACATGAAGAAGAGGGGACACGTTTTGATGTAGAAGAGACATGAAGAAGTGGATTTCGTATAATAGGTGACCTTTAAATAATAAATGCATGAAACACACCGGTCTCCTCCAGTGAGATGATCATGGTGCCGGGGCCGAAGGAGTTCCAGGCGGTGCAGTTGTAGGTGGACAGGAAGTCGGACTCCATCACGTTGTTGATGGTGAGGGTGGAGAGGACGCCTCCTCCCTCGGCTGAGGACTTGCTCTGCTCCACCGTGTACCTCTCCAGCAGCGTCCCCTTCTCCTTCTCCCACACGTTCTCCTTCCACGCCCACACCTGCACACACACAGGAGACCATAGGAGGTTTCATCACAATTAGTTCACCACCGTGTGGGAGGGATTACATTTTCCTGGGTAAATTGTCCAATAAAATTGTTTATTAAAACTCCAGGCAGTGTGCGAAGAATATTATGCATATGTACTACACACACAGAGTTAAGTATGCTTATCTTAGCCACCAAGACAAGCAACAAAAGTCAAAGAATATAGGCAGCCAGAATTCTCTAAAAAAGAGAATGGTGCATTCCGTGATTAACATGGAATTATGCCAAAAACCCTGCTGGTTATTTTAGTTTTTGGCTGATTCAAAATAATGATTGGCTCTAAGAATGTGAAACTCCTATCGTCAAATTCAGAAAATATGTATTTGTAAAGCTTTTAATGTAGGATAAAAACTAATTTGTACATGTTTTGCTGAATATCTGCCAGTAATTATCTTCCCTCAATGTTCCGTTCAGAGGTAGGGATTTTTTGAATTATGACTTTAACAAATAATAACCCAACTGCTGCACAATTATACAGTAAATGTGTGTTTGTTATTTGGTTTATTCGTGAATTAATACGTATTTATGTTTCTGTTTTCTGTTGTAGGGACTCTGAAATAACTAATATTAATATTTTGAAAGGAGAGTGATTTTACTTTCTCTTAAAAAAATTAAAATGAAGGATAAAAAAACAAAACAATTTGATAACATATATTTCAGACATTTTGCGTGACTCTCAGACCAGCAACAGTCTGTCTGTTTGCGCAGACTGAAGTCTGTGTGGGGGGGGGGGAATCTTGCACATTGTCCAACCTTAAAGCCGCTAAAAGCAGCTGTATTATTCAGCATTGGAACACTGTAAGGCCAGTTAATTATGCATAAACCCACATGTTCCCATAATCTGCCCACTTATTCTAAAGAAGGATAATCTCCTGGCTGTTGCATTTAACTGTTCCTCTTCACTCCTTTATATTTTATAAATCTTTTTCTGTCCAAACCCTCCGCCGCTCGCATTAGGAGCTCGCGCTGAGAGTCAGGATGGATCAGTCACACAGGGACTACTACGACTGCATCTGTGCCATCCAGCTGAGTGGAGAAAGCATCACGGATGACTTCTGGTGCAGGAGCTAAAAGCGGCCCGGCTTAGTGTTAGTTTGTTTAGATGATGGGACGGAGGGAAATTCTGTGAGAGTTTAAGGGTGAGTCACCACTCAAAAAGCAAAAAGAGGGACAGGGCCTAAAAGCATTTGCTGCGGAGCCATTTGGGAACAGGAAGGAACAATAACAGTGAAACACAAATCTGGTTAAAAGGTACATCCGTATGCTTTTTGTGATTTTCCTTTTTGCCTTAATAATTCATTCTGGTCCAATATTTGGAGATTTTAAAAGTGCGACATGCTTTCACATTTTCATGTTCCCACTTACAATCTTATCTGGCGGAGGTGTACTGGCTATGTAGCATTTCACCTCTCCTCTCTCCCCTTTCACTGCATACTGGACTGACTCACTGGAGATGATGGGGGGGCCTGCATTGGAAAAATAACAGGATAAGTGAGTGTATGTGAAAGATGGATACAAAGACTTCAATAAAACAAGCTGCTTTTTCTTCTTTTTCTTAAGGCATTGACCTTACCAAGCTTTTTTTCAAGAGTATTATTTAAAAAAATAACCGGCAACCACTTTAGACTTTTATTTTTTTCAATTACTGACAAGCTGACCTTTAAGAAACGACATGCTTTTCCTCTAGCAGCAGTGATATGTTAACTTGTGTGGATGTTTTCTGACCGTTGACAGTGAGCGTGACCTCAGTCTCTCCTACTCCAATCCGTGGGACGATGGCTTTACATACGTACTGGCCGGCATCCGCTTGGCTCACTGACTTCAGAAACAGCTGGTTGCTGTTACTCAGAACCTGTGGGGGAGTGGAGAAAGTATAAACAAATAGAAACAAGAGGAATCTGCTTAAAAACTGTGAAGGGATTAACAAAATAAAAGCTGTTCACGAGTGGAGAAGTTCAACATATTTGCATGTCTGGCCTTATGTGTTCTACAACTGTGACTCTAACAATGCAAACGGCACATCCGCTTTTAACCTATCACAAAGGTTTTGTAGTTGCCAAGCAACCACATCCATCGGAAAATTAGCAGAGGGGAAATTATGGCTAAATATGTAACTACCTAGAGAGAGAAATACCTGCACTAATTACACAGATGTAGGTGTAAGCTGGTGCACAGATTGCTAAGGCAGGCTTATGATGAGGAAGATTTATTTCACTGTGCTGTCTTGTTTTTAGCCCTGATCTTAACTGCAGTTTAAAAAGAGACAGCCAATGGTAAAATAGAATATATATATTGAATACTATTTATGTTCACATAAAACTATAAGCCATGTATTGCAGTCTAAAAATGGTGATGATTAAATAGTTAAATGAAATTATTTGACAAAATTCAAATGAACTAACATTTTAATAGGTTGTCCTTTAGAGATTCAGCAATTAATAAACCAAACATCAAGTCAGAGAAATAATAACTTTCTTTTTGATTATTCAAATAATGCAATAAATACTGTTTGTACTTATAAAAATGGATATTTCCAGCTTTTCTCTGTTCAATATCTGTTTAAAACTGGATATTCTTTTAGGGTTTGGACCAACAAAACAACATTTAACTTGGGATTGTAATTTTCTGACGTTGTAAAGACTAGACTATTCACTTATGAATCTAGAAAAAACAAGCGTAATAATTGATAGTTAAAAAAAATGCAGCCTTAGTGTCCTGGTGGCTGTGGCTAAAGAAAAAGTTCAACATTTTGGGAAATACGTTTATTTGCGTTATGGTTAAGAGTGACACTACTCTAATGTCAGTACCGTACATTTTGAAACCAGAGCAAGCAGACAATTAGCTTGGCAACAACAGAAACGCTTGCCTAGCTCTGTCTAATAATAACAAAATACACAATCAGCAAAAGCCAAGTAAAACCACAACATCATCAAGAAAAAAAACACTCGATTTACACTTGATTCAACATAAAAATAAAACATGCTATTTAGTGAATTTCAAAGATACTGGTCAGCTGTTTGAGTAATTTGAATATATGAGAGTTCATTTATCGTTCTTGACTGAAGCTTAAAAGACAAAAGGGACATTGAGAGAAATAGGTCATGACAGGGAAGCAGCAAAGAAAGATTTCTATGTGTCCCAGAGTTTCCGTTAGAATTTTTTGTCCGTTAAAGTTTAAATCTTCCGGACAAAATGAGAAAAGTGCTGGTCAAAGGCCTTCTTTGGTATTTATTGAGCTTTAAAACAAATTGATATGATTTGATATTAAACACACTAATTATAGTAGATTAACTGGGTCATTCCTAGCATTCGGTGCCATTTCAGCTATATATTCAAAAGTAAAAAACATAATTTTCCATGTTTTTTTTTAATTTAATCTGAATGATGGCTTGTTAAAGTATAAGAAAAGTATTTTGGTCAAGCTCAGGATATTATGCTTAACATATATATTTTTTTACCATCCCCAGTTACTGTGTGTGCACCCTGTTACTGTGAAAAATAGTAACAGGGTGGACGGTAACAGGGTGGACATTTTATGCTAAACTTGGCTATTGCTACATGTGTGATGATAATCAAGCTAGCACTTGGTGACAACAGAAACATATATTTGATAGATATATTCACCATATTTTCTAAATGTATAACAACTGATCAGTTCCACTAAAAATGAGCATAACAGGGTGGACATTTTATGCTTTACCGCAATAGTTAAGTTCTTTAAAACATTAGAAAAACGTTGAAGGAAGAACGGATGGGGTTGTGTGGGTGTGGGTGTGTGGTGTGTGGTGTGTGGTGTGTGTGTGTGTGTGTGGTGTGGTGGTGTGTGTGTGGGTGTGTGTGTGTGTGTGGTGGGTGTGGTGTGTGTGTGGGACTGGCCGGAGTGGGGGGAGTTGTACTTGAGGGTAGGTTTGTGGGGGGGCTGGCTGTGCTAAAGGGAAGTTTGAGTCTCTAGGGATCACCTAGCCTATATAGCGACAGCATTGCGACACAGGTACAAGATACAGGTTGGGTGTGTGTGTGTGTGTGTAGTGGTGTGGTGTGTGTGTGTGTGTGTGTGGGTGTGTGTCAGTAAGTTATTAGGTCTACATTAAGGTCACGACAAAGTTACTCAAACTGTCAACTTAACGAAAAAACTTAGAGTACGGGAAACTAAACCGAAAGAACAAACCGGGAGTATCAACAGATCGTTTGTGGCCGCGAAAACTTAAACTTACAAGGAACCAACTGGACTTTTGAGTTGTGTAGTCGCTGCAAGGATTTAATGTCGAGAGGTGGTTTCGGTGTGTTCAGAGGTATTCTGGTTCCTAGATTTTGTGAGTGTCCTAGGTACTTGTTGTACATACTTCGAAACTGGAGGTTGCCCTACGAGGTCTGTGAAACTCCTGTCACATTGTGAACAACTGATACTTGTTCCACCGAGACATGTACTTTCGGGTCGAAAAGACATCGCCGTAGTGTACTCCCTTAGGAAACTCTTCGAATTGTCATACAAGTACTATTACACCGTTTTTCCACATTTCAAAAAAACAAAAAAAACAAAAAAAAATTATTTGTACAGTTAGGAATTTTCAATCTCTTTTCGAGTGTAAAACTAATTATCTGTATTTTAATTAGGGGGTGGTCGGGGCGGGGTCGGCGTCGGGTGTGAGGGGCTGGGGGGACTGAGGCACGGGCAAGCTGTACTTGAGTCTTCGAGATGTGCCATGGGGCGAGACTAGCGGCCGTCAGACAGCAAGCGCGCGAGAGAGTGTCAATGCGCAGTGCGAGCGTAGTTGGATCGGACTTTTGATATACCTACGAATGAGCGCGAGTGAAACATGAGGCGTCTTTTTCAGTCGACGTTACCACCGTAAAGGGACGGAAATGTACCAGTTGGTCGTACAAACTTGCATAAACGTCGGATTGAACACCGCAAGACCGGTGACTGCAACAGGGTATTGTTGGGACTTAAATTTACGACGATGGGAGAAAACCACTGTCTAAAAACGTTCTTTAATATTGAAGAAGACGTCTACTATGAAGGATAACTGTCGACAAGATACCACTTGTAGATGAGCTCCTACCTGTCGGGCGTCTCTTAGTTTACTTTTTATCAATGACTTTAGTGATACTGTACGGTGTTTTGTTCTTATGTCAACTTTCATAAACATTTTTATAGGTATTTGCTTTTTAGACAAATGTCAAGACAAAGTATACCCACAACTGCGCTCATAGAGTATCTAGAGAATTAAAAAAAGAGTTTTTCACGTGGTCTAACTACGAAAGTTGAAGTTATATTTTTTTTAGAGGTCCCCTGTACGGGGCTGGGGGGGATCTCCGTCCAATCCAGGCCACAAATGGTACGAAAAATATGGTATACACAGAATACGATTGTAATATGTCTGTTTTTCAACGCAAGGTACAACACGACAGCACTTTGGCGGCGATCTCACCTCCCCCCGGGGTTCGGTTCGAACGAATCCCTGGCGCCGCTCAGCGCTCCTCCAGTTANAATGTAAAACAAATGATCAGTTCCACTAAAAATGAGCATAACAGGGTGGACATTTTATGCTTTACCGCAATAGTTAAGTTCTTTAAAACATTAGAAAAACGTTGAAGGAAGAACGCATTCACACTGCTTGTTGAAGATTAGTTCCCACTCAACATGTATCCTTCTTCTTCTTGAGTCATACAAATAGTAGAATAGTAAAGGGGCGTGTCCAGAGGGATTCAAATCAGAGTAACAGGGGGGACATTCAAACAGGGCACACACACTTTATTTTCAATACAAATGAATTAATAAAAACAATTTCAATTTGGTGAGGATAATTAGCAAAAGGGTCATACAACACTCACAAAAATGTAGAAT